ATTTTGTATATTCACCAGGATGGAAAATGATACACACTTAAGAGTAATAAACACCTCATGTCTGAACTTGTTCTCTCAATCCTAGCTGGAAACAAGCATGTCCCCAAATCACCTCTACCTTCACCCATCACCAATTTGCCATTCCAAACAGATTTGGAGATATAGGTGGTAGTAAGATGGATTTCTGCAGACGATGAATGACTCCGTGTTGGAGATAGCTCAGCAGACGCACGCCTTGCCCAGCCAGAGAGCTTAGAAGGTAATAGCAGCCTCAGCTCCATTCATCCAGGCCACGCTACCATTGGACGAAACATGTTGGGTGCTTGGCCTGGATTAATCAAGCTAAGGCTGCTTTTACCTGCTAACCACTCAGGCCAGGCAAGGTGTGTGGCGGCTGGGCTATCTCTCCCTATTTCTACAGATTGCTTCGAGTCTGGACAAACCTTTGCCCAGCTTGCCCCCTCACTAGTCAGCAGTATCCAATTCGTTGGAACTTGATGAACGGGGGTCATTAAGCATTTGTCGTGACTTAGAGCAATAATTTCAGGATTGGTGACCAATCCTGGACAATGTTCTTCCCCTGCAGAAGTATGAATAGTAGTTGATCATATAGATATATGGATAATATCCAACCAGTGATTGTGAATGTACTACCCTATTGCATATGACAGGTAACCAGAGGGCACTCTCTCCCTATATATGGACAGGAAGTGAGTGTTCCTGAGTAGACCTCTTGTTAGAAGGTGTTGGGCGCGTTAGGTTAAGTTCTTCCCCTTGGGTTCCAGGCAGATGGTGTTTCAGTCAGTGTCCCTGGTAATGATGTTATTTAGGAAAAGGTGGGTATGGCTAGAGAGAAGGTCAGGATATGGGAGTGTAAACTGAAAAGTAAGTGGCTTGGTTCCCCCTGTGTCTATGGGCCTTAATCTTGCTGCATCATGAGGCATGACTACCTCTTTGGGAGGAAATGTCCTCTAGGATGGAAAAAGTGGAAGCTAGGTAGTTAGTTCATCCTATAATGCACTGGGCTATGTATTAAGAGTGATGCTTTACTCCACCCCAAAATGGGACAGTTTGCCCCTTTATTGAAGAAGAAAAACAATATTTCACTTATTTATCCATCTATTAAATGCCAACTATATAGTCTATTTAATCAAACCTGACCGGACACTATTTTGTGCAGGGATGAGGAAGAAAATGTGAGATATGTTCAACATCATTGTGGGGGCTGTTCGTGCAGCTAGGGCTGGAAGGGATCAGTGTTCACTCAGGCCCGGAACAGGGTAAACTGAGTGCTGAAGATTACACTCATAGGCTATGCCTGGGTTAATAGGTCAAGGTATCCCAGCCATGTGTGTAGACGGAACCAGAGGAAGCCACTCTATGGACTATGGAGGTTGTCCTGGGGGAAGGAGCTCATCTCCAGTGACTGAAGTCATTGTGTAGGTGAGTTTAGTAGTTGTAACTGTAGGCCATTTGCCAAATACAACCTGGCAATACTCTGTGACCACCAACGCAGTGTTCTCTATTGTGGGCACCAGAGGGAGCAAACCTACCACTTGGCTATATTCTGTATATATATATACTGTATAGACAGTAGGTGAACATCCTGTCTATTGTAGTAAACTACAATGAGTAGTTCTCTGCCACCATGTGGGTGGTAGATGAGTGTTCCTCATTCTTCTACCACCATAGCTACAATATACACTCAATGGTCACTTCAATTGATACACCTGTTCAATTGCTTGGTAACACAAATTACTAATCAGCCAATCCCATGGCAGCAACTCAATGCATTTAGGCATGTAGACGCGGTGAAGACGATTTTCTGAAGTTCAAACCGAGCATCAGAATGGGGGAAGAATGGGGATTTAAACGACTTTGAACATGGCATGGTGTTGGTGCCAGACAAGCTGGTTTGAGTATATCAAAAACTGCTGATCTACTAAGAATTTCATTCAAAACCATCTCTAGGGTCTACAGAGAATGGTCCGAAAAAGAGAAAATATCCAGTGATCGACAGTTGTGTGGACAAAAACGCCTTGTTGATGTCTGGAGAAATGGTCAGACTGGAAGATAGGCAGGCAACAGTAACTCATGCCAATATGGACCAAAATCTCTGAGGAATGTTTCCAACACCTTGTTGAATCTATGCCATGAAGAATTAAGGCAGTTCTGAAGGCAGAAGGGGGTCCAACCCAGTACTAGCAAGGTGTACCTAATAAAGTGGCCGGTGAGTGTACAGTATGTATGGTAGATAAGTGTTCCTCACCCCTATAGATACATGGACAAAGCAAACAAGTGCTAGTTAGTGCTTGGGACTCATAGATCCATGGAGGGTTGATTACAGTTGTCAGTTAGCACTCTACTCCTATACATATGTGGACAGTAAAATAACAATGGTAAACCCTCACACCACCAAATGATATAAAATCAGACTGCTGCACTTAGGAACCCTGAATACTGGATTCTATAATGTGCAAGTAAAATAAACCAGTGCGCTGTCTCTTTAAAGATCTTTCAAACAAATATCTGATTGCTACAAAAAAAGGCAAAAATGTGTAAAAATAAGCAAAATGAAAAATAAAGTACATATAAATCTCAATATTACCCAAGTGTAAACAATAATATGTAACAATGTATAGTGATAAATTGTTCCCACTACATAATGGATGGACATTGTTTGATGAATTCAGATTGTTTTTAATGATCGGTTGAATATTTTGCACTTTTATTTGATGTATGACATTATGTAGTGGAAATGATTTATTACTATATTGTACATTATTGCAATAATTATTGTTTACAGTTGGGTAATATTGAGATTTACAGTGGGGATCGAAAGTTTGGGCACCCCAGCTAAAAATTTGTATTAATGTGCATAAAGAAGCCAAGGAAAGATGGAAAAAAATCTCCAAAAGGCATCAAATTACAGATTAGACATTCTTATATGTCAACAAAAGTTAGATTTTATTTTCATCATTTACACTTTCAAAATAACAGAAAACAAAAAAATGGCATCTGCAAAAGTTTGGGCACCCTGCAGAATTTATAGCATGCACTGCCCCCTTTGCCAAGCTGAGACCTGCCAGTGTCATGGATTGTTCTCAATCATCGTCTGGGAAGACCAGGTGATGTCAATCTCAAAGGTATTAAATGCCCAGACTCATCTGACCTTGCCCCAACAATCAGCACCATGGGTTCTTCTAAGCAGTTGTCTAGAAAACTGAAACTGAAAATAGTTGAGGCTCACAAAGCTGGAGAAGGCTATAAGAAGATAGCAAAGCGTTTTCAGATGTCAATATCCTCTGTTCGGAATGTAATTAAGAAATGGCAGTCATCAGGAACAGTGGAAGTTAAAGCAAGATCTGGAAGACCAAGAAAAATATCAGACAGAACAGCTTGCAGGATTGTGAGAAAAACAATTCAAAACCCACGTTTGACTGCACGATCCCTCCAGAAAGATCTGGCAGACACTGGAGTTGTACACTATTCCACTATAAAGAGATACTTGTACAAATATGGTCTTCATGGAAGAGTCATCAGAAGAAAACCTCTTCTACGTCCTCACCACAAAAATCATTGTTTGAACTTTGCAAATGAACACATGGACAAGCCTGATGCATTTTGGAAACAAGTTCTGTGGACCGATGAGGTTAAAATTGAACTTTTTGGCCGGAATGAGCAAAGGTACGTTTGGAGAAGGGGCACAAAATTTAATGAAAAGAACCTCTGTCCAACTGTTAAGCATGGGGTTGGATCAATCATGCTTTGGGGTTGTGTTGCAGCCAGTGGCACAGGGAACATCTCACGAGTAGAAGGAAAAATGGATTCAATAAAATTTCAGCAAATTTTGGATGGTAACTTGATGCCATCTGTGAAAAAGCTGAAGTTAAAGAGAGGATGGCTTCTACAAATGGATAATGATCCTAAACACACCTCGAAATCCACGGGGGATTACATCAAGAGGCGTAAACTGAAGGTTTTGCCATGGCCTTCACAATCTCCTGACCTCAACATAATTGAAAATCTATGGATAGACCTTAAAAGAGCAGTGCGTGACAGACAGCCCAGAAATCTCAAAGAACTGGAAGACTTTTGTAAGGAAGAATGGGCAAAGATACCTCAAACAAGAATTGAAAGACTCTTGGCTGGCTACAAAAAGCGTTTACAAGCTGTGATACTTGCCAAAGGGGGTAGTACAAGATATTAACTCTGCAGGGTGCCCAAACTTTTGCAGACGCCATTTTTTTGTTTTCTGTTATTTTGAAAGTATAAATGATGGAAATAAAATCTAACTTTTGTTGACATATTATAAGAATGTCTAATCTGTAATTTGATGCCTTTTGGAGATTTTTCCATCTTTCCTTGGCTTTTTATACACATTAATACAAATCTTTAGCTGGGGTGCCCAAACTTTCCATCCCCACTGTATATGCACTTTATTTTTCATTTTGAACATTTTTTTTCACAGCTTGCTATGTTATTTTGTTGTGGGTTTCAGTAATAATCAGATATTTGTTTGAAAGATCTTTAACAGTTGCCCTCCTGAGGATTTACCCACCCCCTTCCTAACTAGGCCATTTTTTGAGTTACGGCGCTGTGTTACTTTAACTGACAATTGCGCGGTCAGGCAACGCTGAACCCAAATGAAATTTGCAGCTCTTTTTTTCCCACAAATTGAGCTTCCTTTCGGTGGTATTTGATTGCCTGTGTGTTTTTTATTTCTTGCGCTATGAAAAAAGAAAACACTGACAATCTTGTGAAAAAAACCTATATTTTTTACTTTTTGCTAGTGAACATGTTCAGTACAAAAATTAAAAAAATCAAATTTCATCATAAATTTACGCAAAAATGTATTCTGCTGCATCTCTTTGCTAAAAAAAAAAATCCCAATTCCTGTAAATTAATTGGTTTTATGTGAAAGTTATAGCATTTACAAATGGCGGTATATATACTGGGATTTTTAAAATTTTTTACTAGTAATGGCGGCGATCAGCGTCTTATAGCGAGACTGCGGCAGACATTCTGACACTGGAGGGAACTGACTTGGTGTCACTGACATCCACAGTGACACCAATACAGTGATCAGTGCTAAAAAAAAAGTACTGACACTGTACTAATGGCACTGGGCAGGCAGGGGTTAACCTGAGGCACGATCAAAGGGTTAACTGTGTGCTGGGAGTGCTTCACTGGAATCACACTGCTTTGGATGGCTGTGCTGTGCAAAACCATCCAAAGCAGTGTGCCCTAGCTGACAGGGAGGAGAACTGTTAGTAAACAAAACAGTTCTCCTCCCCGTTGGAGATCTTCGGAAATCACTGGGTGCCGGCGAGTAATCACCGGCCGCTGGTGAGTAATCACCGGCCGGGACCCAGTGATTGACAGCTGCGGCTGTGAATGGCAACATGGGTAGGGCGCGCCCGTGACTCGCACACGCTCCCTACCCGGAAATGCAAAATCATGTATGTATATGTGATTTTGTGCATCCGTGCCGCCCTGTAGCAGTATTTCTGCTATAGGGCGGTCGGCAAGCGGTTAAAGAGACAGCACACTGGTTTATTTCACTTGCATATGTGGGCTGTAGGTGACTAGAACTTTCTGATGTTCCACCCCTGTAGATACAAGGACAATATTTACCACTAGCAGGAGCTACATTACCCAGCCCACTTGGTTGGTAACTAGAGAGCACTCTGACCCTATAGAATGGTAGGTAACCAATACCAAACAAGGCTTTTTCCTTACAGATGCAATACATGGACAGTAGGTAACTGGTGTTGGATAGCACTCTGCACCTATAGATACAGGGACAGTAAGTGACCAGTGCTGGACAAGGCTCTAGCCCTAGAGATTCATTGACAGTAGATGATCAGTGACTGATGCTGATTGGTGCACTGCCTCTATAGATACACAGATGGCAGGTGACTGGTGCTGAATAGCTCCTTGTGTTTACAGAGACGGGGATGGTAGTTGACACTGCTAGATAGAGTTTTGCACCTATAGATAGTGAATATTAGGTGATGGCAGCTGGATAGTGCTCTGTCCCTAAAGATCTGTTGGGGGTAGAGATCTGACCCTACAGAAACACAGGCAGTCAGTGACCGGTACTGGATAATGCTCTGCTTCTATAGATATGAGGACGGTAGGTGATCAGTATTGGATAATGCTCTGAGCCTATAGATATGTGGATGGTAGGTTATCAGTACTGGATTCCGCTCCTATAGATATGTGGACAGTAGGTGATCAGTACTGGATTCCGCTTCTATAGATATGTGGACGGTAGGTGATCGGTACTGGATTCCGCTTAGATATAGATATGTGGACGGTAGGTGATCAGTACTGGATTCCGCTTCTATAGATATGTAGACGGTAGGTGATCGGTACTGGATTCCGCTCCTATAGATATGAGGACGGTAGGTGATCAGTATTGCATAATGCTCTGAGCCTATAGATATCTGGACGGTAGGTGATCGGTACTGGATTCTGCTCCTATAGATATGTAGATGGTAAGTGATCGGTACTGGATTCTGCTCCTATAGATATGTGGACGGTAGGTGATCGGTACTGGATTCTGCTCCTATAGATATGTAGATGGTAAGTGATCGGTACTGGATTCTGCTCCTATAGATATGTGGACGGTAGGTGATCGGTACTGGATTCTGCTCCTATAGATATGTGGATGGTAGGTGATCGGTACTGGATTCTGCTCCTATAGATATGTGGATGGTAGGTGATCGGTACTGGATTCTGCTCCTATAGATATGTAGATGGTAAGTGATCGGTACTGGATTCCGTTTCCATAGATATGTGGACGGTAGGTGGCTGATACTAGATAACGCTCTGGCCCTGTAGATGTGAGGACTGTATGTGACCAGTACTGGATAACAGTCTACTTCTACAGATACGAGTACGGTAGGTGACCAATACTGGATAACGCTCTGCTCCTATAGATATGAAGACAGTAGGTGGCTGGTACTGGATAACCTTTTGTTCCTATAGGTATGAGGACGTTAAGTAACTGCTATTGGATAACGCTCTGCTCAAATAGATATGAGGACAGTAGGTGACCAGTACTGGAAAACGCTCTGCTCCTGTAGATATGAAGATGGTAGGTACCAGTACTGGATAATTTTCTGTGTCTATAGATATTAGGACAGTAGGTTACCTATACTGGATGAGGCTCTGGTCCTATAGGTATGAGGAAGGTAGGTGACCTATACTGGATAATGCTCTGCTCCTATAGATAAGAGGACGGTAGGTGACCAGTATTGGATAACACTCTGCTCCTGTAGATACATGGACAGTAGGTGACTGGTATTGGATAATGTTCTGCTTCTATACATGAAGACAGTAGGTGACCGTTACTGGATAATGCTTTGCACCTATAGATATGAAGACAGTAGGTGACGGTTATTGGATAAGGCTCTGGCCCTATATAGACATGAGGACGGTAGGTGACCAGTACTGGATAACGGTCTGCTAATGTAGCTATGAGGACGGTGGGTGACCAGCACTGGATAATGTTCTGTTTCTATAGATATTAGGACGGTAAGTCACCACCACTGGATAATGTTGTGTTTCTATAGATATTAGGATGGTAAGTCACCTATACTGGATAATGCTCTGCTCCTATAGATAAAAGGACAGTAGGTGACTGTTATTGGATAGTGCTCTGGCCCTACAGATATGAGGACGGTAGGTGACCAGTACTGGATAACGTTATGTTTCCACAGATATGGGGATGGTAGGTGGCCAGTACTGGATAACGCTCTGCTCCTATAGATACATGGACGGTAGGTGGCCGGTATTGGATAACGTCCTGCTCCTGTAGATACATGGACGGTAGGTGGCCGGTACTGGATAACGCTCTGCTCCTGTAGATACATGGACGGTAGGTGGCCGGTACTGGATAACGCTCTGCTCCTGTAGATACATGGACGGTAGGTGGCCGGTACTGGATAACGCTCTGCTCCTGTAGATACATGGACGGTAGGTGGCCGGTACTGGATAACGCTCTGCTCCTGTAGATACATGGACGGTAGGTGGCCGGTACTGGATAACGCTCTGCTCCTGTAGATACATGGACGGTAGGTGGCCGGTACTGGATAACGCTCTGCTCCTGTAGATACATGGACGGTAGGTTGCCGGTACTGGATAACGTTCTACTCCTATAAATACATAGACGATACTACATAGATCTCTGTCTCTATAGGTATGAGGACAGTAGGTGACCAGCATTGGATGGTAGGTAAGTGGAGGTGGACAGCACTGTGACCCTACAGATACACCAACATTAGGTGAACAATATCGGATAATGCTCCATCTATACAGATAAGTGGCCGGTAGGTGACTGATACGGGTAACGCTCTGGCCCTGTAGATATAGACGGTGGCCGGTACTTCATAGCTCTCTGTCTCTATAGGTATGAGGACAGTAGGTGGCCGGTATTGGATAACGTCCTGCTCCTGTAGATACACGGATGGTAGGTGGCCGGTATTGGATAACACTCTGCTCCTGTAGATACATGGATGGTAAGTGGACGGTATTGGAGAACGTCCTGCTCCTGTAGATACATGGACGGTAGGTGGCCAGGACTGGACTATGCTTTGCTCCTATAGATAGATGGACGGTAGGTGGCCGGTACTGGATAACGCTCTGCTCCTGTAGATACATGGACGGTAGGTGGCCAAGACTGGACTATGCTTTGCTCCTATAGATAGATGGACGGTAGGTGGCTGGTACTGGATAACGCTCTGCTCCTGTAGATACATGGACGGTAGGTGGCCGGTACTGGATAACGCTCTGCTCCTGTAGATACACGGACGGTAGGTGGCCGGTACTGGATAACACTCTGCTCCTGTAGATACATGGACGGCAGGTGGCCGGTATTGGATAACGTCCTGCTCCTGTAGATACACGGACGGTAGGTGGCCGGTATTGGATAACGTCCTGCTCCTGTAGATACATGGACGGTAGGTGGCCGGTATTGGATAACGTCCTTCTCCTGTAGATACATGGACGGTAGGTGGCCGGTATTGGATAACGTCCTTCTCCTGTAGATACATGGACGGTAGGTGGCCGGTATTGGATAACGTCCTTCTCCTGTAGATACACGGACGGTAGGTGGCCGGTAGTGGATAACGTCCTGCTCCTGTAGATACATGGACGGTAGGTGGCCAGGACTGGACTATGCTTTGCTCCTATAGATGGACGGTAGGTGGCCGGTACTACATCGCTGTCTCTATAGGTATGAGGACGGTAGGTGGCCGGTACTACATAGCTGTCTCTATAGGTATGAGGACGGTAGGTGGCCGGTACTACAGAGCCCTCACGGTAGGTGACCAGCATTGGATGGTAGGTAAGTGGAGGTGGACAACCCTACGGATACAGAGAGGTGAACAATATCGGGTAATGCTCCCGCTATACAGATACGTGGCCGGTAGGGGACCGATACGGGTAACGCTCTGGCCCTGTAGACATGAGGACGGTAGGTGACCGGAATGGGACAACGATCGGCTCCTATAGACTCATGGACGGTAAGGACTGTTTGTCTAGTCACCCGTAGCGGGTCACCATCACCCTCGGCGTTTGAACGTGGAGTCAGGGTAATAGGCACACCCCTTCTCCGCCCAGAGTCCGGCTCTGCTGATACCGGAGAAGATACGGGCACAGCTCCGCCCCGCCGGGCCGTACAATGCTGATGTCAGGAGGCGGTGCCCGATTCGGGTGATGTGTGTGCGGAGGATGCTGCGGCCCGACAGGTGAGATCGGGGAACCGTTCTACCCCGGAGAGATTATGACACCAAGATCCGGGTGTTCATCTACAGGAGGGTGTACAATGTAACATCATGATGGGGCACATTACATGGAGACAGGGTGTCATATGGGAGTTCCACTGCTGGGGGGGAGGGGGGTGTAGTCTGGATGTGGTGGGTCATAGTATTGTGGTCTGTAATATTGGTTTGGTAGCAGGGGCGGACTGACAACTCATGGGGCTCCCAGGCAATAGGGGATCATGGGGCCACTGTGTCTTTGCCCAAACTCAAAAAAGCCTATGAAAAAAGTACCAGGGGCACCTCATGTGGCCCCCTACTGACCCCCGGCCCTCGGGCAGTGCCCGAGTTTCCAAATGGTCAGTCTGCCCCTGTTTGGTAGGGTGTAGTATTAGGGGGCTATTGTATTGGTGTGATGAGGTGTAGTAGCCATGTAGCATGGGGTGTAGTAGCCTTGTTGTATGGGGTGTAGTAGTGGTGGGGTGCAGTAGAGATGTAGCATGGGGTGTAGTAGTGGTGGGGTGTAGTAGCCATGTAGAATGGGGTGTAGTAGTGGTGGGGTGTAGCAGCCATGTAGAGTGGGGTGTAGTAGTGGTGGGGTGTAGCAGCCATGTAGAGTGGGGTGTAGTAGTGGTGGGGTATAGTAGCATGCAGTGTAGGGTGTAGTAGTGGTGGGGTGTAGTAGCCATGTA